TCTCCATGTCTGACTGTCTGTCTCCGTGTCTGACTGTCTCTCTCCATGTCTGTCTCTCTCCGTGTCTGACTGTCTCTCTCCGTGTTTGACTGTTTCTCTCTGTGTCTGACTGTCTCTCTCCGTGTCTGACTGTCTCTCTCCATATCCAACTCTCTCCATGTCTGACTGTCTCTCTCCATGTCTGTCTCTCTCCGTGTCTGACTGTCTCTCTCTGTGTTTGACTATCTCTCTCTGTGTCTGACTGTCTTTCTCCATGTCTGACTGTCTCTCCGTGTTTATCTCTCTCTGTGTCTGTCTCTCTCATGTCTGATTGTCTCCCTCTGTGTCTGTCTCTGTTTGCATCTGTCTCTCTCGTGTCTGACTGTCTCTCTCCATGTCTGACTATCTCTCTCCGTGTCTGACTATCCCTCTGTGTCTGTCTCTGTTTGCATCTGTCTCTCTCCATGTCTGACTCTCTCTCCGTGTCTATCTCTCTCTGTGTCTGTCTCTCTCATGTCTGACTGTCTCCCTCTGTGTCTGTCTCTGTTTGCATCTGTCTCTCTTGTGTCTGACTGTCTCTCTGTGTCTATCTCTCTGTGTATCTGACTATCTCTCTGCATCAGTCTCTCTCTGTGTCTGACTGTCTCTCTCTGTATCTGACTGTTTCTCTTGTTGTCTGACTGTCTCTCTCAGTGTCTGTCTGTCTGTCTCTGTGTCTGTAGATCCACCCAGAGTCAGATGCACACGTGACTCTGCCCCTTGGGTTCGGCCACATCTTCCCAGGGCAGGGCTGCTTTTGTGCCATACCAGAGAAGTCAGGATGTAGCTGCTATTTGGTGACGCCCCCGACAAGTATCTGCATTGGGGCCCCGGGCTGCTATTTTACAATGTCCACGTTTCCTAGGGGACTCCATCTCCTTTGAGCCTGGCCTTGGTCCTCCTGCCTGATGGAGGCTGTCCCGCTGCCTCTCCTTCCAGATTTCCCACGTGCAGCTGAGCCCTGTGTCCAGGCCTTCTGGATTTACTGCCATTTCCCCACTGTGTTTAACAACCTGGATGATGGCAGGGGCTGTGTGATGAGGGCCCACAGTTGGGGGACGGTGGCCCTCTAGGGACCTGGATGAGACTCAGGGAGCATTCAGCACCTCTGGCTCTGGCTACAGACACGTCCGTGGATTTGGGGCATGGGCTTAGGCTGCCTGCCCTGGCTACACCCGCACAGTGTGAGCCCATGGGCGGTGCTCTGGCACCTGGCAGGTGCAGGACTGAGTGTGGGAGGTTCACTCCCTGAGGGAGACGTCGATGACACACTTGTGCATTCAAACTCTATTACACATTTAGCAAACATCATGAGAAAAAACTTCTCATTTTCAAAAATACTTCCAACATTGTAAACAGACAAATCACATCAAATTACCACAAGAATTAAAATGTTTTTATTTTGTGTATACTGTAGCCAGTTATAAAAATACTGACATGGCAGAATTAAATTTTTTTTTGAGGCAGAGTCTTGCTTGTTGCCCCTGCTGGAGTGCCGAGGCATCATCACCGCTCCCTGCAGCCTCCAACTCCTGGGCTCCAGCCGTCCTCCTGCCTCAGTCTCTGAGTAGATGGGACTACAGACACCACTGGTGCTGGGCGAATTTTTCTATTTTTTGTAGAGACAGGGACTCACTTTGCTCAGGCTGGATTTGAATTCCTGCC